TGAATTTGTCCCCAAAATGGGGAAATATCTCTCTATTTATAGGGTCATTGGAGAATGTGCCCCCATTTAGGTCACTTGACCTAGATTTTAGTGGGCTGCGCCATTTTTACGGCGCTTCTTGGGATTTTGGCCCTTGAAGGCCGCCATTTCAGAGATTTATCCAAGGGGGCCATGTGTCAAGGGGATATTAGGCCACGTGGGCCATCCTTAACTCGACACGTGGCCTGCTCTCATTGGTCCACGTGTCTAGGGTATTTTTACCCTAAACATTTGCTCCTCACAGGGCTCACGTGCGTATCAGGTGGGGCCTGTGACACGTGTCCACCTATCAAAGGTGAACGGTAACGGGTAGTAAAATTTGAATTTCAAACAAGAATTTCCCCCCATTTTCACTTTCTATAAATAGAAGTTTACCTCCCCCTTTTTCCTCACCTTATTAACATTTGACTTTTTTAGAGAGAGAAAGAGAGGGCTTCTAGAGAGAGATTCTCTGCCTCCGTCTGCATCAAAGCAGTTTCAAGTTTCCGTGTGCTAGAAGTTCAACCCCCGGTTTACCGGTTGTAGCGGTTTTCAGATTTTTCAGAGTTAAAGTAAGGTAACCGCCTGTACCATTTTAGCTTTTCTCCTTTTCAACTTGTATACAATTTTTTCTCTGCCTGTATACATAATTTTAGAAAATAAAAATGAGTTCTCAATCCACTCACTCGGCACTGCCTAGGACACTCAGCCGGTCCCCCGGAACGGCTGAGTCTAGAATAGTGGGTGCCTTTTCTGGACTGTCAGAACCGATGTGCTCATCTCCGAATTCCTCCCTCTCTGTGTCTGTGCAGGACACAATGGCCAGAAGGTCTAGGAGCCGGCGCACTATAGCAGTGCCAGCCGATGAGGTTGTCCCAAATAGGGAACAGAGGGATTTGGAGGAGAGTGGTTCTGATGAAGAGGCTCCCTCTACTTCTAGGAGCTCAAGTGTACGAGAGGTAGGCGGTGAGGAAGTCGCCTCCTCTAACGGAACCGGCGATGCTGAGGCCGGCGAAGGGTCGAGGGCCGAATCTTCTGGCTCTAACCAAGATAACTTTGCGGCTGACTATCAGCAGCCGCCTAAGGTCGCCGACCTCCCCAATCCCAAACAGACTAGAATGCTGCCGGGTAACATTGCCCTACTCAAGAGCGGCTTTAGGGCCTTTAAAGAAAAGCACCCCTTTGGAAGGGGCTGGGACATCATCGTTCCACTGGCTGATGCAGTAATGGCCTGGAGCGATGACATTGATAACGCAGACCATTACTTTGTCTGCTACTAGGCGGTCATTAAAGTCGGCCTCTGGTTCCCCCTCCGCCCCGCGATTAGGAAAATCCTAAAGGGGTACGATGTAGGAGTTTGGCAGCTCACCCCCAACTCGTGGGTGAACATTCTTAGTGACACCGTCGCATGCGAGTTCCAAAATATAAATCCAAGCTTCTCCGCCTTCGCTCATATGCATTATTTGAGCAAGGCCCCAGGCGGCCATAGGGCATGGTATACTCTGACTACCTTGCCCCAATATTTGATGACTTTGGACAAAGTGTCCAAATGGTACGGGTGGAAGGACAAATTTTACTTGATTTCTTCCCCAACTCTAAGGCATAACCGGACACTGCGCCGGTACAACACATAGCCGACTCTTCTAGGCAGGAAGTGCCCTCTCCCGGCGCTGTCTACTAAGGCCCGAGAACAAATAATTGATCCGGGATTTTTTGAGACAACAACCGAGCCCATGGGGGATGGGACTCACATTATAGTTCCCAAGAACTTGATCACCCATCCGGACTTCTTCAAGGACGAGTGCATCTTGTCCGCCTGCGGGCTGAGTACCATGTTTCCCAAGGCTAGATTACCTTACATCCGGAGTGTTTGCTATTTTTTTATTTTATTGCAAACTTGCCACAATTTCTTCTAACCTTGAATTCTATTCATGCAGCCGACGCCTTGAAGATGGTCGATCCGGCAAAGACACCGGCTAAGTCGGCGGCGCTGCTGCGCAAAGAGGCTGCACTTGCCAAGAAAGCAGCCGTCGATGCAAAAGAGTCTAAGAAAGGCGAAGTAAGACCGCCTAACTTTATATGTATTCATACAATTTTTTTTTTACTAAGGCAATTTGCCGGTTGGGTATACTGACCCTTGTACATTTCTCAGGACTCTACAAAGCGAGTGCCACGATCCTTCTCCAAGCTTCTCAAAAGGCAAGGAGAAGATCTGGAGAAAGCTCCGGCTGCGAAGGCCGCCAGAAAGGACCCCCCTCCCCAGACAAACTCTGCTGCCAAATTCGATCGTCCAACGACCGGAGGCAAATCTCCTGCTGCGATAAAGATTTTGAGCGAAAGCTCAGAACGCTCACAGCAGAAAGCGCCGGATGCCTCTACGGCATCGAAGGGTGGCGAGCCACATAATGTTGCAGCCGGTACGACAACAACTGGGGAGGAGCAGACGCCTAAGCCCCATCCGGACACACAAGGTAAGGGAAGGATTGAAATACCTTGGCCACTTGACTTCATGAGAGTCAAGACTAAGGTTGATCCCTCTGGGGATTCAGTCAGAAGCCGGCAACGGATGAGTGCCAACTATGCTGCCTCTTTCTCACAGAGTACTACTTTTGATGCAGATATAACATCCGACGAGCCGGATCTTGTGGGTTTCGCAAAACGGATGGTGAGGACCCTCACCCGGTCAGAGAAGAACTCTATACCTGATCTGCATGTAGTGGACTTCGACCGGATAATAGGCCAACTGGCTGAGGTAAGGAATCCCACAACCCTGATATCTTATCCTTTGATTTTACTAAGTAACTCATAATTCGGCTGCTCTTCTCTCAGGTAATGCTGAGGGTGGACGGGCTCCGTGGCCCCTTCAAGCGGAAGCAAGAAAAGGTAAATGACGCCAAACGGAGGGCCATTGAAAACCTTAACTTTGCTGAATATGCTAATTATATGTGTGATTAAAAGATTAAAGCAGTAGAGTTGAAACAGGAGGAGCTGATCCAGAGCTTGACAGCTGCGAACGATGAAGCCAACAGCCGGGCTGATGACCTTGAGCAAAAACTGAAGGATGCCAAATTTGAGCTCAAGGCATTAGAGGATGCTGATCAAGAAAACACTCAACTCCGAGCCAGGATCAGCCGGAGCAGCAGTATCCACCTCAGCCTTAGGCGGGCCTCCCCACTTTCTGCGACAGTATGCCATCCTGTTTCTTTACCGGCTTGTATGTTGTGTAATATTGTATCTTTACCAACCAAGGGGTTGGGTTAACAATTTATTTTTTGTTTCTTCACCGGATGTAACTCCGGTTAATACAACTTCTAGCCTTTGAGCCATTTTAAATATTAAATGAAGTATTCTGACTCAGTCGGTTGTTTATACCTGTTTATTTTTTAATGAATTTTTCAATTTGAATTTTGCGTATGCTTGCAATTCTTTAATATTTTGCCTAACTTAGAAAAGCATGCGGCAGTTTGCAATCTGGGTGCTCTTGCCCCTGGACGGCTGTGTGGTTGGTTTTGTTTCAAATAGATTGATTGGCTTGAAAACACTTGATATTAGGAGAAGTATGGAGTGTTTTTAGGCCGATCAATCACAATGGTGATTGCCCCAAACCAAGTGCACAGCCGGCCATTAGAGCGGGTGCTTTGAGCTTCTTACCCAGGCGGTTATATTCCGTCTGGGGTTATTACATAGCCATTACACAAAATCTTTTGCCCCAATTGAGAGAGAAAGTGCAACTTTGGAATAAATAACCTAAGTGAGAACTTCAGCCGGATACCGACTGATGCCTCGGGGCATCTGGTATTCGATAACTTAATCGTTCTTCGTAGATTACTCTGGTCAGACGGCTATGAGTTGACCAATTTGGTCGTTCAATTATCGTCGTCCGCATAGGTATGTAGAACCGACAAGTAGTCTATTCTCTGCGACGATTGCACCCGGAGGGGTGTCGCCGGATGCCTTTATCCATGTTGGGACAGCGATTTTATAAAATAAGCAACCATCCGGCCTCTTTAGGACTTTGGTCTTGTTTGAGACCAGTTGTATAGCCTTAAGCGTTTTTGTGCTTAATTTTTTAATCGGACCATCGGCCGAGCGTTATTACAAAATTGAATTTACACTAAGTGTCGAACTTAGTTAGTTAAACAAATAGTCCGTCTGAGTGTTACCCAGACGGACAAGCAATTATTGAATTACACTAAGTATCAAACTTAGTTAGTTAAACAAAGAGTGCGTCTGAGTATTACCCAGGCGGACAGGCAATTATTAAATTATACTAAGTATCAAACTTAGTTAGATAAACAAAAGGGTCCGTCTGAGTATTATCCAGGCGGACAAGCAATTACAACCTTACTAAGTATCAAACTTAGTTAGTTAAACAAAGAATCCGTCTGAGTATTACCCAGGCGGATAAGATAAAATAACAAAACAATTCTACAAACAAAGTCTGAATTCTCATTAATTGACTCACTGTTTACAAAAAATTTACATTTCTCAGAATTAGTACTTTTTTAGGTTATCTACATTCCAAGTTCTAGGCTGGCGCCGGCCATCTGGGGTTTTCAGACGGTAGGTGCCATCCCTGACTTCTTCATAAATCCGGTAGGGGCCTTCCCAATTAGGAGTTAGCTTTCCAGCCTCATTCCTACCGGTTGCCTCCATTTTTCGTAACACAAAGTCGTCAACTTTCAAAAGACGCTTGTGCACTTTCTTATTGTACGCTCTGGTCATTCTTAGACGGTATATCTCATGGCGCAAGGCAGCGTTGCCCCTGCGTTCCGGGAGGGAGTCCAATGCTAGCCGCATGGCCTCCCAATTTGCCTCTTCATCATAAAGCATGACTCGCACTACTACAAAATTGGTCAAAGAGACCGTAAATAAGAGACCCTTTAATTAGATAACCGGTCTCTTTGTTTCAAGAGACCGAGTTTTACAAATCACGGGTCTCTCTTAGTTTTTAAATTTTTAATTTAAAAAAAGGAGACCCTTTATTAAAGGTAATAGGTCTCTCTCGATATTTTTTTTATGAAACTTTAAAAGAGAAAGACCTATGTTTAAGATAACTGGTCTCACCTTATTTTTCCCAAAAAAAAAAAAAAAATATTTGGAGAGACCTGTTACATCACTAAAATGGTCTCTCATACACTAGCTCTAATTAAACCCTAGAACTTCTCCTATCTTCAACCCGCCTCCATCTTCTTCCTCTTCTCTTAGCTCTCTCTCTCTTCTTTCTCTATTTAGTCCCTATCTTTTTCTTCAAATCTTCCTATCATGGGAAACTACAGTGTCAACGAACAGTTTCTCAATCCATGGGAAACTTCGTCGATCCGATGGTAAGCATGAACGAAAACCCTAGATCCCTAATAACTCTCGAAATTTGTCAAATCCAAGTAGGCTACCATTGAAATTCGTCAAATCTATTTTAATTTTTTGATTTTGTTGTGAAAATGTCTACAGGTGCAAATGGGTGCAGCTAGGAAGCAGTGAAATAAATTATTGCCATTTTATGATATCTCGTATTTCTTCTAATTCCAGTGTTTGTTTTTTTTTTAATTATTATTTTAATTATTATTTTTTTGAATCTATGGTTTATCAATTTTCGGCATGATATTATTAATAGTTTGTATGAGGTATGAATAAGAGGAAAATCAAAATTTTAAGATTTACGAACTATAATCTGTGAAAATTACTCGTCAATTTATCCCAATTTTTTTGTACTTTCTTTTCTTTATGAGTATTGATCTCTTACAATCTTAGTTGACCAGATCTGGTTTTGAATTTGAACAGAGTAAAATTCTTGCAATCTGGTGGAAATTAAAGCCCAATTGCATGAATTATACGAAAAGGAAGGGAAACGTTTGATAATATGCAAAATATAAAATTAAAGGTGGTGGTTATTCAGTTACTTTTCTTCTGCCTTCATCTACTGTCAACTCATTGGTATACTAGATGAAATGTGAGGTAATTGTTTGTTTTTAGTTCTTTTTACAATTTATTTAATGAAAATTATGTAATTTATAAGTTATTTTGATTATTTTGGAAAATGATTCTTTCTGAATCAGGTTTCTGGGATTTTGTAAGAACATTGAAGGTATTGGACAATTGGGAGTTCGAGATTTTGCAGTTGAAGAATTCGTTTCCATCTCTTCCACTTTGTATATAACTATATAATTTCAATATAATTTTGTAATGGATTTCAAGTTTGATAAATTAGTTTGTATCTAAATATGAAACATTTAATTATGCAATTTTGATTCTTTTAATGTGAAGGTGTAACTTGCAATATTCCAATAATTTCAACATAGTACTCCGTATCTATAAGAATAATTAAATGCTTAATTTTATTTTATTTTATTTTAAATGAGACCAAAGAGATCGGTTGAGTTAAATAAATAGTCTTAGTTTTTGAAAAAAAGAGACCACCTACCTTAAATAGGTGGTCTCAAATTTCTGAAAAAAAGAGACTGCCTATGTTAGATAGGCGGTCCCAATTTTCAAAAAAATGAGATCACTTATCTTAGATAGGCGGTCTCAGTTTTTTCATTGTAGAGACCACTTCTAATAAACCAGTCTCTTTGCCAAAGAGACCGCTGAGCTAGAGACTGCCTCTAAAGTAGTCTCTTTGGCCTTTTTCAACGAGTCTCTTTGGCCTTTTTTGTAGTAGTGTCGTAGAGTCGGCTCGTAATGTTCAATGGGCAAGACGGCTTCAGCACCGTATACCATGAGGAATGGGGTTTCACCGGTTGCCCCTTTGGCAGTAGTTCGAATGGCCCATAGGACATGAATTAGTTCTTCTGCCCATAAGCCACCGGCCCTTTCGATTTTCTTTTTTATGCCGTCTGAGATAAGTTTGTTGAAGGCTTCAACTTGGCCGTTTGCTTGGGGTCGGCCGACTGATGCAAAACAATGTGAGATACCTTGATCTCCCAACCAAGTCTTGAGATGAGGGGTTTCAAACTGAGGGCCATTATAAAAAACCATAGACATAGGTACCCCAAACCGGGTGATGATGTTCTTCCAAATGAAAGAGACGATATCCTTTGTCTTGATATTCTTGACCGGCTCAGCTTCTACCCATTTGGTGAAATAATCCACAGCCACCAAAATGTAGCGCTTTTCGCTTGGAGCAGGCGTATAAGGACCCAAGATATCCATGCCCCATTTAGCAAACGGGACTGGGCTGTGGATTGCCGTCAAGTCAGTAGCCGGGCGGTGAATAAGTTTGCCAAACCTCTGGCATTTGTCACATCTCTTCACCAACTCTTTAGCGTCTGCTTCAAGAGTAGGCCAAAAGTAATGCCGCCCGGCTCTGACGGCTAGGGACCTGCCGCCTATATGAGAGGCGCAATACCCAACACGCAATTCTTCGAGAACTTCTTTCCCCTTTTCTGGGGTAACACACTTCAATAGAGGTTTAAGGAAACTTGCCTTGAAGAGCTCTCCGTTTCTCAACTCGAAGTTTGCTGCTCGCTTCTTCATGACGGCTGCTTCCTGTGGTGAATCAGGAAGTCTGCCGTCTACTAAATATGCCCGGATGCCATCCATCCAGGTAGAGTTTCGGTCCAGAATTCCAATGGGCTCTTCATATATGCTTCTCTTTTCCCAAAAGACCGACTAAGGCGTATCACAGCAGGCGGATGAAGCCAATTTGGACAACGCATCCGCCTGATTGTTATCCGACCTGGGCACTTGATTTAGACGGAATTCCTCAAGTGCCCCAGCCTCTTCTTTGACTGCCTGAAGGTATTTGATCATAGCCGGATGAGTTGCCTCATATTTTCCCTCATATTGGCTAACGACCAACTATGAATCAGAGTAGGCGTCAATTTTAGTTGCCCCTGCTGCCTTACACATGCGGATTCCGGCAAGCAGGGCTTCATACTCCGCCTTGTTATTTGAGGCTTGAAATTTAAACCGCAGTGCATATTCAAATCTGTCCCCCTCAGGGGACTCATATAAAATTACTGCACCGCAGCCGTTCTTCGTTGAGCTCCCGTCTACATACACTTTCCAAGCCTGTTCAATGTTATCCGGTTGCACCGGTCGTGTCATTTCAACAATGAAGTCGGCAAACGCCTGACCTTTCACTGCCTTTCTAGGTTCAAAAGTGATTTCAAGACTTTGCATTTCAATAGCCCATTTTAATATTCTGCCGGATAATTCCGAGGTAGACATTGGCCGTTTGAGGGGCAGGTTGGTGTAAATTACCACCGGATGGGCCAAAAAATACGGTTTCAACTTCTTGAAAGCCATATACAAGGCAAGGCCAAATTTTTCTACCATGGGGTACCGGAGCTCAGCATTTTTTAGAACATGGCTAATGAAATAGACCGAGAGCTGAACGCCGTCTCTCTTAGCAAGAAGAACAACACTGAGGGCATGATCCGAGACGGCTAGGTACATGTATAACATCTCTTTAGGCAGTGGACTAACAAGCCTTGGCAAAGAGTGCAAGTGTTCTTTCAGCCGTTGAAAGGTCGCCTCAGTATCATCCCCCCATTCAAATCTGGTCTTCTTCCTGATTGCTTGGAAGAAGTAAAGGCATTTGTCACCTGACCGGCTAAGGAACCTCCCCAAGGCCGCCAGGCAACCGGTTAATCTCTGTGCTTCCTTGATAGTACGGGGTGACTTCATGTCAATTACCGCTTGTATCTTCTTGGGGTTAGCCTCTATCCCCCTTTGATCAATCAGGAATCCGAGAAACTTCCTAGACTCAACACCAAAAATGCATTTCTTAGGATTTAACATAACCTTATGCCGCCTGAGTGTGGTGAAGGTTTCTCGAAGATCAGCAAGGTGATCCGCCTGCTGCTTGGATTTGACTATCATGTCATCAATGTACGCCTCCACATTCCTCCCAATTTGATTAATGAAGACCGTATTAATCATCCGTTTGAATGTAGCCGGCGCATTTTTCAAGCCATACGGAATCACATTGTAACAGAATAACCCCTGATCAGTGACGAAGGCCGTCTTTTCTTGATCTTTCTTCCACAGGGGTATCTGATGGAAGCCGGAGTAGGCATCCATGAAACTCATCAAGGCATGCCCGGCTGCCGAATCGACCAGACTGTCGATCTTAGGAAGCGGATAACTGTCCTTGGGACATGCCTTGTTGAGGTCTGTGTAATCAACACACATACGCCAGGTACCATTCGACTTCTTTACAAGCACGACATTCGCCACCTAGTCGGGAAAATTACATGGCCGAATGAACCCAACGTCCAACAGCTTTTTTACTTAGGTAGCTGCTGCCTGACTTCTTTCCTCGCCGTAATTTCTTTTCTTTTGCCGGATGGGCTTCTTTTTAGGATCCATGGCGAGTTTGTGGACAGCAAGATCCGGGCTGACGCCTGGCATCTCTTCCACTTCAAAGGCAAGAATGTCTTTGAATTCTTTCAGCAGAAGGTGCAAGTCTGCACCCAACTTAGCATAAGCAACCGTCCCAACCTTTACAGTACGCTCTGGACGGCTGTCGTCCAGAGGTATATCAACATGTTCTCCAACCGGTTAGGGACGGAGCTCATCTGACCGTTCACCGGTCAGTGATTGCTATTTTTTCTCTTTCTTCACCTCCACCAGCAGGGGTGCCTTTCTTTTCTTTCCGGCTGCTGGTGGGGCTGGGGCTGGGTCGGCAGCCTTGACATTGTCACACTAGTGGAAAAAAGGCCATCCGTAACGGGCAACGTCCGTTACGTATGCGGCCGTTACGGATGGCCATTGTTATTCGTAACGGGCAGTGTCCGTTACGAATAATGGGTTATTCGTACTTAACATTTCAAATGTCCGTTACGAATAACCCCTTATTCGTAACTAACATTTCAAATGTCCGTTACGAATAATGGGTTATTCGTAACGGACATTTAAAATGTTAGTTACGATTAAATCCTTTTTTGTATTAAAATAAGTCCTTATTCGTAACGTGCACCTCAAACGCCCGTTACGAATAAGTGATTATTCGTAACTGTCATTATAAATGTCCGTTACGAATAAAGTTTTATAGTATATAGTTAAACACTTATTTGTAACGAGCAACAAAAATGCCCGTTACGAATACGTGGGTATTTGTAATTGACAAATCTCCTGCCCGTTACAAATAATCATTAAATTATGTTTTTTTTTAATTAAATTTCGACAGCATGTATTTATATATAATTAATATATATTAATTAAAACCTATTATAATAAACATGTTCCTATAAATACACAATTATACCGAACAATCTTTCGTAAAAATTAATACGACGTAATATAAAAATTGAAGTAGTAACACATTACAAATTAAAACTTGTATAAATTTATCCAACATTTACAACATACAACACTAAAAATATTACTTTGTTCTACATAAGCTAATAGTTATGCATTCAATAAATATTTACTTCTAAATTATTGCGCCCATTGTTCTCGAACCACATTCAACTTGTCAACATCATCAGGGCTGCCCTTGGACAAAAATCCTATTGAAAAAAAAAACATATGAATGAGGTTACAAAATAAAAACAATCCATCATAAAAACAATCATTAGAATAAATGTGATGGTCCAAATTATAGAAATAAAACTCAAAATATAGAAATAAAAAACATAACATCCTTATTAACTTATATTTTGATTTCTATGAATCGAAATTAATGAAACGTGAATATTTACTCACTTTTAGAGCGTACAGATCCAAAAAGGCTTCAAAATTGCACTAAGGGACTTCCATCTTTCCCATATTTCATTATTGGTCCAAATTAACACAATAAAACACATAAAATCCTTAAATAACTTATTTTTTATTTCTATGAATTAAAATAAATGAAAAGTGAACATTTTCTCACTTCTGGGAGCGTATAGAGCCAAAAAGGCTTCAAAATTGCCTAAGGGACTACTATCTTTCCCATCTTTCATGTATTGGTTCAAATTGACACAATATAACACATAACATCCTTCATTAACTTATATTTTGGTTTCTATGAGTTGAAATCATGAAAAGTGACCATTTACTCACTTTTGGGAGCGTATAGAGCCAAAAAGGCTTCAAAATTACCTAAGGGACTTCTATCTTTCCCATCTTTCATGTATTGGTTCAAATTGACAAAATATAACACATAACATCCTTAATTAACTTATATTTTGGTCTCTGAGTTGAAATCAATGAAAAGTGATCATTTACTCACTTTTGGGAGCGTATAGAGCCAAAAAGGCTTCAAAATTGCCTAAGGGACTTCTATCTTTCCTATATTTCATGTATTGGTTCAAATTGGTACAATATAACACATAAC